ACATCTGGAAGGAGAGGGGCAGAGGTTCGTCCTCACCTTACCCCCGCAGACAGCGTGTCTGCCCACCTTTGCTCTTCCTCAGCCTCAGACCCTTTTCATACACACACACGTGCAGGCGGGTGCGGGCAGCCGGGGTCAGATCCAGCCCCACCGGGGCATTTTGGAGCAGCTCAGCTTTGCTGCGAGAGCCTGGGCCCCTCCTCGCTGTCGGTCAGGGTCTCGTACCCCTTCCTGGGGGGATGGGAGCCCTGAAGGGTAGCACCGTGCAATTGCATCTCCCTGTCTAACCCACCGCCACCCAGGTTTGGCTCTGATTTCAGGACAGACATCCCCAGGAGGCTCAGGGAGAAGCACGAACAGCACAAGGGCCTCTGTGCCGGCCCGGATGCCGGCGAGCGAGGCCGTGGCCAGCTGGGGCCATGCTGGTAACAAGGCTCCCTTTGTAACGCCCCGGCTCAGCGCGTCGGCGGCAGGGACGCTCCTCGCAGCTCCAGCAGCAGGGCCCTCCGGGAGAAAGGCTGGCACCACCAGCAGCAGCCCCTTGGATGCATTTGGCACGCTCAGGAAAGTAGGTCACTGTGTACTTTTCTGCTTCCAGGAGGCTGTGGAGAGACAGGCCCAGGAGGCGCGAAAAGCGAGCAGCTCACTCTGCTACATTTGCCCTGGGAGGAGAGAAAAATCCCTTCCCTGCTTTGGAGGCGTTGCTCTGACATGGCCGGCATCAAAGGGCTCATGCTAAATCTCATTAAGAAGCTGTTAATGATGCCGTGGCTCCCCGTGCACCCCTCCAGCGCTCCCCCGGGAGCAGCGGAGCTCGCCGGCCCGCTTGCGAGCGCGGTGCAGCAATCCACGCCCAGCCCTGCGCCGCTGGGGCAGGGACGGAGCCGGGCGGAGGCAGCACGGGCTGGGCACGCTGCGCAGTCCTGCAGCGGTGCCAAGGCACTGCACGCAGGAAGGCGGCGCTGGGACCGGCTCCCATCTTGCTGCTCTGGTGCAATTTTTGGGAAATGGGTGATCAGTGCCCCCCCATTTCGGCTGGCACTGCTGCTCCGAAACCGGGAGAGGGGTACCCTGAGCTCCCCACCACTCCTTCCCTGTGCCCGGGCAGGAGGCAGAGTCCTCCACCTCCGCGGCGTGTGCTCCTCTGCCAGTGGCTATGCTGCCAGCCGCCTCTTCCCATGCAGCACTGGCTCTACCCACATCAGAGCTGCTCAGGGCCACGTAGCTGCCGGTCCAGCCTGTTCCTCCCATCGCTGGAGCCGGGTACGCCCGTGGTGATGCCGTCCCCAGCTCCTCCGCCAGCCTGGCACTGGGTGTACTGGGAACTTCAGGGCGTGCAATGAGTAACATGGCAAGGGTGTGCTAGAGGAAGAGCGTGAGCAAGAGCTACGTGTCCAGACCTCGCTGCAGCTCAAGAGATGAAGGGACGTGGATCAATTTGGCTCCTTAGCAGAAGCCCAGCCTGGCAGAGCCCCGCATGGTCAGCGTGGCTGCAGTCGGCTTGTGCCTCGCACACAAGTGAGGCTTGTCAGGGTCACCCTGCCCGTGGGTGATGGTCCCTGGAGACTCCAGCAGCTCCTCCAGCCCCTCGCCTGCGAGACAGCCCAACATGGCATCCCGGGCTGGGACTCAGCACCCGAGCCCCTTCGCACAGCCCATGCAGGGCCAAACACCTCCTGTGGAGGTGGTACCCGACTCCTTGGTGCCCCAGTGCAGAGCATGGCAGTGGCACGGGACAAGCCAGACCGGGGCCGGCAGACACCCAGCTCACCTGAGTGGCAGCAGAGCTGAGACACGGTCCTCTTGCCTCCATCCTCGCACTCCAGCGGCACAACGCCCAGCACACCTGCAGGAGAGGACACGGGAGCAGGTCACCAGCCACCCACCAGCCTGCCCATCACCCACAAGATGCTCCCAGGACCCCCCCCAGCCTGGGACACAGCGTGGGGGGCACCCAGCTTTGCAATGCAAGCCAAGAGGTGTGGGACTGTCAGCACCTTTGGGGGAATTCGGGGAAAGCCTTGCAAGCCAAGAGGTGTGGGACTGTCAGCAGAATGTCCCCCATTCTTTGGGGGAATTCGGGGAAAGCCGCCTCCACTCGCCCTCGTGCCTCCTGGGGTCCGTGGGGCTGACCCAGCAACGAGCCCCGCAGGGACCACAGGGGCAAATCCATCCCACCCCCCCAGCTGTGCTTGGCACACCTTCCCTTGTGCCTCACCTGCTGCCTCGGCATTGAACGCGATCCAGCGGCAGCTGGCCTTCACATGGTTCCCGCAGGACGAGACGGAGCCAGCCCGGATACCCCCGATCCAGGCCTGGGATGGAGAGGGAAAACCCATGTCAAGAGACGTCTCTGTTTCAGAGGAGCCCGACGCCGTGGCCGGATCACGGCTGGCGGGGAGACAACGAAGCATCGGCACAGCATCGCTAGAGACCCTCAGCCCCACCGGAGCTCCCACACCAATGGACCTGGCACTACCTGGAGGCTGCCGACACCAACGGAGTCGTGCCGGAGGCACTTTATAGGGCCCCGTCCTCTGGGAGGGCCGGGGCAACGTGGCTGCTCATGCTCCCTGCATAAAAGCGCAGCCCCTCGCCGGGGCTGGGGGCTTTGGGGCCAGCTTTGCCAGGAACGGGAGACAGGAGCATCCCGGTTCCCAGCGCTGCCTCTCCCCAAAACTGTCCCAGCCCTGGGCTCTCCCACGGTAGGAAGGGCTCAGAGGACTTTGCGATAAACTGATCTCGGGGAATTTGGGATGGGACAAAGGCTCTCGGGCTGCAGAGGACCACAAGGTCAGGCCGTGGTTGACCGAGGCAGATAAACACCTCCGGCAGCGTGCTTCCCGCATGGACAAGGAACTCCATTACAGCTCCAAAACCAAAATCCTGCTTTGCAGCGTTTCTCACTACTACCCCATGGCCAAGCACTGCACCCGTGGGGCACCGGGACACCCTGCGTCAGCCGGACCCGCTCCAGGTGACACAGACACCCGGCCTCAAGTGGCCACCAGGACCAGGAGCTCCCAGGCACACCCAGGGCCAAGTCCAACCCTCGAGCAAAGGCGGGTGTTTTACAGCTGCCACCGTGCCTGCACGCCCGCCCGGGGGCCACTGGCATCGCAGAGAGCTGCAGCAGGTGGCCGGAGCGGTGGATACCCTGCAAGCAGGGCAGAGCCCTTTGCAGGGAAGGGAGCTGCATACGCAGCCCCAAAAGGACTGAGCCCCGGGTTTCCTCTCCTTGCACGGCTTCCTTTTGAGGTCTGACAGAGAGCAGCAGTTCCTGCAGCACTTCCTCTGGTCCTTGTCACAGCAGCCTGCTCGGTGGCAGACCTGTTAACCCTTCCTCTGCTGAAGGGAGATTCCTCTCCCCGCACCCAGCAGGGGGGGCCGGGGGCTGCAGCGGGGATGGGGAACGGGTCTGGAGCGTGACCAAGACCCAGGAGGAAGGGTCCCACAATCTGCGCCCCGTCACCCTGCACTGGTCCCCCGGTGAGGGGGTCACTAGCCACATCCAGCCCCCAGCATCCGGGGCTACCACGCAGGACCCCTGCAGCGAGGTTTCGCAGAGGGACTGCTGAGCTGGTCCATCCCGGCTCCGCAACGTCCCCGCACACAGGCGGGAGCCCTTGGGGAAGCGATCCCTCCCGCAGCGGGCCAGGGAGTCTGGTAAAGCATATGGTACCATCCTGGCTACGTCCCTAAAACAAACCGCAAGCTTTCAGGGCGCCTCTGCCAGAAGAGCCCTGCAGACGCTGCCTGAAGGGAAGAAGCGACTCAGATGTGATCCTTCATGTTTACACCACGCTTCCTGATCTGGCCAAGTCAAGTGTCTGCCTTCACCTCTGTAAACAAGCTGCTCTGCTCGGCCAGGGACACGAACAGCGTTTCCCACTGTGACACCCGAGATGGGTTCGGAGACGAGACGTCCATCTCCCACCTCCTGCCCTGCAGAGCTGGGTGACGTGGCTTCGCTTCCCAGGGACACGTTTCACGCCTGGATGGGAAATGCCTCTCGGAAAGGCCACCTCCCGTGTGCCGAGGCTGGTGCGGGCTGCCGGAGGCAGAGCAGACGCCTCCCCGCACACCAGGGCGAGAGCACGCCATCCCTCGGCATCCCACAGAGCTCCCCCACTGTGAGAACCGACACCAGGGTAGTGGTGACAGGGATGTCCTCGCCTAGAGGATGCCATAACCCCCCCACGGCCAGGCGGCCCAGCACCCACACCGCACAGATGCACACGCTCCCTGGGCCGGCCGTTGGCAGCAGCTCATCTGCACCCTGAGGTTCGCAGCCAAAGGCTTGGCTGGCTGCGATTTCGGCGACCTGCCACCTGCTCTGCAGATGCACTGCGGCTGGCACGCCACGGGGATGGTGGGATGCTCAAGGCCGGGCACAATGGTGGGGGCCACAGTGTCCCCTCCTACAATTGAAGCTCAGGGGGATGTTTCAGGTGCTCGCTGGGTCTGCAGAGGTGTGCGAGTGCAGGGCAGGCCAGCCGGGCGCAAGGACAGCTTGGCCGGGAAATTATAGGGAAGGAGAGCGCCGAAGTCCAAAGGCTGGGAGACGAATGTTTTGGTGGCCCCAGGGGCCTCCAAATTCTTTTCAAAGGCAGCAAGATGCAATGATTTTTAGCAGCATCACCCATCCAGCTTGAGCCCTCCACTTCTGGCCACATGGCCTACACCGAAGGGTACCAGCTTCCCGCACCTGCGTGCCACCCTGGCACGACTGGCAACCAGAGCAGCCTGCGCCATGCAACTGGTCCACGGCGTCCCTTCCCCACGTGGGACCGTCCCCGGCAGGGACCCTGTTCCAGCCATGCCAGCTCCCCTCTGCCCCACGGGCTGGGAGCCACCCGGGCAGGATCCCACCACCCGCTTCCACCGCGGCAGAGCAACGGCAGCCTCGCTCACGGCCACGGTGCTGTGGGGATGGCAGGCAAAGGGTGTCCGGCTCAGGGAGCCCCCAGAAGGGCTATGTGTCCTGATAACGCTCCCCAATGCGGCTCACCCGGCACAACCCACCCCCGACCCAGTATCTCTTCATGAGCCGAGACGGATCACGACGCTCGGCACGGTTGGGCCTGGTTATTCGTGGGGCAGAGGCTGGAGCTGGGCACCGCGTGGCTCCATGCTGCCTGGTGAGACCCACCGGCCCTGCCCGGCCTCGGCGGTGCTGAGCTCCGCAGCTCGCGGGCAGGGTGAGGGAGCTCAGCACCGTCCCGCAGGGCCCCAGCGCTTCCTCTTTGCCTGCGGAAGCGGGGTGGCAGAAGTGGGGCCCAGCATTTCACGCTCGGGGTGCACGCCGGGCCGAGCGCAGGCGAGGTACCAAGCTGAGCCGGGACGGCAGGCAGCGCGAACCGGAGGCCACCGGCCTGTGCC